TGTTTGTTTGTTTGTTTGTTTATTTAATTTATATCCCGCCTATCTAGTCAATAGACCACTCTATGTGCTGTGATTTGTGTGCTACTGGATCTCCATGAGAAACTCCGTTTCCTGTGAATGGGGATACACCAAGGGCTATGAGTTGAGTTTATAGCACCACCAGAAAAAATTCCGGCAGAACTAGTTGCCCACCTCCAGTGCAGAGAATATAAGAAACAGAGATGCAGGGCACAACTACTAGGAATTTTGGCAGTGACATAGCCACACTAACAAGAAAAACAAAAACAGAGGGTGATGGAAGAAAGGCAGACCCTAACATTTTAAAGTGAAGTTCTGCCCTGTTCACAAGAATGCAAGCATTCATCTACATGCATGCACGCATACATGCATGCATGCAAACACACACACACACACACACACACACACACACACACACACACACACACACGCACACACATGCACAGTCAGCCTGGTAGTCTAAGTAACTGACCTAAATCCTGTTGTTTAGTGTAGTGACTCATGCTACAGTAGATCCATTGACTCAAAAGGGATTTGATGAGTCATCTCCACCCCATGGGCTATAGATTCAAATGTGCTTATTCTAACTGTGAATAAGTCAGCCACAGTTAGAGCAGAGACATTGAATCTACGGAACTTATTGAGGAGTTGATTCATCAAGTCCCCATGGATTCAGTGGGCCTAGTGCAATTTACGATGCCAAGCAAGAGATTTTGCCCCCCCTTTTTTTAAAGAAGGGGAAAAAAGGGCAAAACTCAAGCTATACACTACACTGACAGGAGTCTCTCACTGACAACAGCACAAAAAAAAGGAAGAGTGCCAGCTGCAGCTTGATGACCTCAATGAAACCCCATCTAGCACTTCAGTAATTGGGAGTGTGCAGGAGAAGTTTACATATTCACGTGGAAGTGAGGTTGTCAGGGTCGTTCTCCTTTGGTGCAGGCTCAGAGTCTTCCTTGAGGGATTGATACAGATGACTTCCCTTTCCCTTCCATACCATCTGTTTTTATTTTAAAATTTTAAATCTCATGAACACTGCATTTTGTTCTGTTTATTGGCCTGAATTACAATATATTCTGTAACTGGGCCCACCATTAAAGTAGGACTGGGGTTCACAGGGGGCATCCTCCCTTACAATGGTGTAAGAGAGATGGTGAGAGATCTACTGTCTTTGGGGAAAGGGCTTAAATAAGAATCAGATCAGTGGTATTTGTTCCCTCCCAGGAATACCAAACATACTTTAATATTGGACCCAGCTCCAGAATATATTGAACCCCTACATTCAAAGGTTATGTTTTCCATGGGGATGCAGCACAAAATGCTATATATACACCACTGTCCTTTGAAAGTAGAGATTTGTGGTTAATTTCATTTTCTGTTTAAACAGAAAAATCCCAAATGTCAGATGCTGTGATCCTGATAAAGATAGTTTTGCTCTGCAATGAGGTCTGCAATTAATCTCTTTTCATCCAAGCTACCAGATGAGGAATTCTCCAGATCCTTTCATTCTCTGGAAATCTCTCAGTGAATTTTTCTCAAAACTCTCACTGAAAATTAAATACAGTTGTGAGGGAGGGTGTGTGGTCTGCTTATCTTGCCAAGCTCCTTGGTTTAATAATCCCAATATGATACATCTGGAAAAACGGAGCATGGCAAATTTACGTTTTTCAGCTATAACTGATCTCTCCGTCACCATGTTTCTTTTGGAGCTCTGTGTACATCTGAGGTGTGTTTTGATTACTTGGGGTTGCCAAGCCCAATGTGAGCCGAGTTCCCCTTTCAACATGTGGTTGAGAACAGAAACTGAAGTGTGGTGAACCAATACAAGACCACTTTGACATACTGGTGGAGTGTATTCTTCACATGTTGAATGTCCCAGTGTAGAGTAAGAAGTAATTGTGATGCACTGGACCCCCTAAAGCAGTGGTTCCCAACCTTGGGCCTCCAGATGTTCTTGGACTACAACTCCCAGAAGCCTTCACTGCTACCTCTGCTGGCCAGGATTTCTGGGAGTTAAAGTCCAAGAATATCTGGAGGCCCAAGGTTGGGGACCACTGCCCTAAAGGGTCACTGGGTATTCAGCCAAAGAATCCGACAGGCACTTATCTACCACATTTGCACTGGGGCAAGTCCCAAGACCTCAGCAGTGTGTACCATAAGCCCTTTGAACAAGTCTGACCTTAAAAGAACACTTCACACTTATTCAGTACTTTGCAAGTAGAGGCACATGCACTTTGTGATTCCTTAGAACTCACCAAAGCTCACTTAGGTAGGGCTCTTAAACCATAGCTAGTTTGTGGCCCTCTCCACCTCCCCGGATTTAGCCAGACCCTGCTGTTCAAGATACCAGTCCTTTTGTAGGATTTTTATAATTTATTTTTATTGGAAAAATAGAGTTTCATTAGAATATCAGTTTATATTGCATAAGAATTAGCATCAAGAACATATTCAGAGATCATTGCAGTTAAATAAAATAACTGCTTCCCATTTAAAATAATAAACACTAAAAAGCTGATCTAGAGTGGGCTATAGTGGGCTAGTCCCCCTCTTCTTCTTTTTCCTTTATTAACATCCTCTCTCCTTCATGGAATCGAATCCATCACAGGACAGAATAAAATTCATTGAACCACATTCCATATCCTTCAGTCAATGTCACATAACCCATCGTCCATTTTCTACCCTTCTAACTCCTCCCTTCTTCATGGCCCATCTGGCTGTTAACCAATTAACCTTAAGAGGTTGTACCACCTCTCTCCTTTCCTTATTCCCATGAGAGTCCAGGTGTTGTTTATCTCTTCTTTTAGCTAGCTTGGAATGTTGAGTCTTCCACAGGCCTCTGAATTCGGCCTTCAGCGCTATCTCGATCCAGGCTATAATGGTCTTCAGGAAATCACTCTAATGGTGCTTAGCAAAACACATTCCAGTGTCTCTCAAATCATCTTCACACAGAACCTGTCTGACTCCATTTTATATTTCTCTGACTACATATCCCATCATCATGACGGTAGTAAGCTGGGTGGGGGAGGAATTGAGCTAGGTGAAATTACTTTCCCGTAAACAGTTGCCCAGTTTTGGTGAATGTCTGAGCATTAAACTACAAATGTATATTCTGCTAGTACTTTCTTTCTTGTTAAATAATTCCTTCTAAACTTCAGGCCAGAGCAATCAGACTTGCAAAGGAAGTCTTTATCTACCTCTCAATAATCAAGCTTAAAAGAATAGGAAGCTACTTTGCAACATGTAGAATGAGGTAAGCTTGTACTAGAATAAATGCATGCCTTTTATATCTTGAGGGAGATCTGTTTTTAATGAGGTGTAAAGTGGTTTGTGACATGAAGAGAACTCAAATTGTGAGACAGTGAATAATCTCAATACAAGCTTGTTCTTTAGTATGGTTCGGTTTGATCTATGAATGCTATTGGTTGTTGTGGGTTTTTCGGGCTCTTTGGCCGTGTTCTGCAGGTTGTCCTCTGAAGATGCCGGCCACAGAGACTGGCGAAACGTTAGGAAGAACAACCTTCAGAACACGGCCTAAGAGACCGAAAAACCCAGAACAACCATTAGATCCCCCCCTTGAAAGCCTTCGCGAATATATATGAATGCTATTATTTATTTATTTATTTATTTATTTATTTATTTATTTATTTATTTATTTATTTATT